CCCTTCATTTTCATTCAAATTCACCTGTAAAATTTTTTTTTTTCATAAATATAGCATACCATCAGACTGTAAAGTAAATGTGTTGACTCTTCAACATGTTTGTGCCTCACCTACCAGAGCGGGCAAAAATGTGTAAAACACTAAATAAAGCACCAGATACACCCTTGAATTTTCTAAGAGTTTCACTTTTCAGTTCAATGTTATTTAATAGATTTTCAAGATACCCCGGTAACATGTTCCAAAAATTGAAAATTTCTTGTTTATCTGAATGTTGGAAAATATACAGTAAACAGTAAAGAGATTTATATGTAAAATGATCACACTGAATACATGCTTACATCCTGTCATTTAAATATGTATCCCAGGAAGTTATAGGATATAAAAAAATTATTTATATAACAATTCAATTTTTTTTTCCCATCATTTATACTTTAAAATTTATAGGTGTGTTTTGCTGTTAGTGTAGTTCATGACCAGACATAAATCCTCACCTCGTGAATTTCAGCTCCCACTTGCTTCTCATACGTAACACCTATTGTATCTTCCACATATCCGAACTGCTGGGCCACTTGTGATATCAGGTCCTTTACGGTGGTGGAAGCCGGTAAGTTAATGGTGTGGCGGATCCCATGACACTGGGTGTCCAGCATGTCACGCACAATACACAAAATCTTTTCTTCATCTGCCACACAGACATTCTATAGGTATAAAAATAAAACTTTTATATATATATTGATTTCAATCATTGGATATATGATACACAGTGCTCTAAGTTGCGACTAAAATGGTCGCATTTGCGACCAAACAATTGATTTTGCGACCTAAAATGAAAACACACTCGCATTTTCGCGACTGAGAAAATTTGGGCTGGAAACGTCCATTTTTAAGATCGGGATCAAGATTTCATTTGTAAAGATTCTGTATCAAGAAAATGTTTGAAGACATATACTTAAATACAATTTACAAAGCGTCGCATGGACTTAGATCACGTAATGTTATGGCAGCATGCTGTACAAAGTTTGATAGAACCAGAGACGTGTATAAATAATGTTCCTGATAGAACGGCATCCAAACTTCGTAAACTTTTTAAGATCCGACCTTGTTATTGAAGCATTTGGTCAATTGCTTGCATATCACAATGAATCATGCTAATAAGAGTGACTGTGTAATGGTTTAGGTACGTAGTACTAAGTAAACATGACAAACAGCAGGCAAAGTCCTGTCTAAACAACTGTCAAGCTTGTATTTTCATTTGATAAAATTTTATTTCTTTAATCAGATTACTTGTGTTCTTCTGTACAACCATAAGGGTACATGTATTCAATAAAAATAGTTAATCCAACCTAGCGATTTTTTTAAAGTCACAGTAATAAGTAATCTTTGATATAATAAAGACATAATACATATCCTTAGTGAAATTATCAAGTTTTATTCACAAAATGTATTTTTTTTATGGCGAGTGAAATATTTGATTATGGCGACCAGAAATTTTGAAATGGCGACCCCAAAAAAATTTAGGTCGCCATTTTGCGACCTGAAAGCAAGTGTGACTTGGAGCACTGATACAATTAGGAAGACCACCAGTAACGGTAAGCAGATATAAACAGAGTAAAACTTGGTTAGTACAAACACAGATATTGTGAAATCGGGGGTATAGCAAAGTTATCTTGGATCCCCAGCTATATAAATTTAATGAATTTCTTATACAGATATTACAAATTACGGATATAGGGAAATAATTTCATATGTCCAATTGACTTTGTTATAACCAAGTTTTATTGTATTGTTAATGAATTCCCCAGAAGTTTTGTTCTTTTTCATTGCCATATCAAATTAGGTTGTTGATTCAGTCTATACTTTAAACATGTTAAACAAAAATTATGTTTGATGTACTTTGATCCAATTTTTCAAAGCTGACATCCATGAAGGTTTTTTTCTGTTTTGAGTAAAAATCAGACATTAAGTTTAGTTACATTTTCAATATTCATGGATCCAACAAAACATGTCGCCCTTGAAACCACACAAAAATTATCTATAATCATGATAATGTAAAAATGACTAATAGAGGAAATGATTTTTAAATTAAATGCCTTGAAAGGATTTCAAAATTCAGCTAGATGGTTGGTTTTGCTTAAGCTCAATGAAATAAAGTCCCTTTGTAAAAGTTTGTTTCAACAGTAAAGATTGATCTTTGCCTAAAACTTGAAAGATTATATATTTTATCTTTTTTTTTTTTATTTTATTTCATATCATGTTTATAGAAATAAAATCTAGTTATTAAGGTTTTTATAATGTACAAATTAATTTTCCATGTCAAATTCTAATAATGTTTTGCCATGTAGCGATATCACTTTGTGAGATGCCAAATGAAAATGGAAGAAGGAAATGTTTTGATCTATACAAAGAATTAATGGAAAATGATGATGAACATAGAATAGGTGTGAATATAATATATGTACAGTGAGACTCTTATTTTTTTATAGGTAGATTATGAACAATAAACATAATTTTGTTTATTCAAACTCACGATAAATTGACATTTGTTGGAGGAGTAAAGAGTGCAGAACTGAGGAAACTCGAACTAACTTACCACATCCATCACGTTTTATAACCGAATCAAAAACTACGATCACTTTCTGTTACTAACACACTTCCAATCATCTTAAATACAAACTTTCATTAGATATCGATAGAAATATTGAGCTGTTGTGCAATACAATCGACGTGAAAATCTATGACAAAATGTCAAGTGGCGGGTACTATTTTCCGATGTTTTTCTTTCTGCAGTAACACTATTATACCTTCCTAAAACATACCTCAGTTGGTACCATTTGTGTATTTTCTCCAGTGACCATCGTTAGAATGGTCTAAATATAGTTTATGTCACAAAACTTGCTGTGTAATGCATGGTAGTTTAGTACTTTCTTTTTTGTCTACAATTATGGCTGAAGTCTCGCAAAAACACGCTACGTGCGAGAAATCAGTTCGAGACTTCCTCTTCAACTTCCTCTTTCGTCACGCCGAGCAAAGAAAATGAGGTACATGAAAATTGGTCGTTAAAAATCTAAGACCATCACGTTAACATCACCACTTAAAAGTTTAATTATGCATAATTCTGTAGCACATACCTTCTGAAATCAAATTATTGTGAATTAACAACTGTGAAAAGAAGTGCATGGTTAACACACTTAGTTTCCAACATGATTGCTAAGTGAAAGGGAATTGTTAGTACTTATCATATCCTTTAATTTTTTTAGTTGGATAACTTTTAAAAAATATGTGTGAAAAAGGTGATGGTCTTTATTTGTTAAGAGATTAAAATTTTCATAGTTGGTCAGAATTTTAAACCTTGAGAAAGATGGGGGGGGGGGGGTGAGAAGAGGCAATAATTTCATCTGCTCTTGTCATAACTTACAAGTATTATTAGTATTTAATGGAAGAAACATTGATTTGATTGTTAAAAAACTATTTCCTTTGTTTGCTTTTCATCAGTAAATTTTTGGAGTCAAAAACGTGATTTCATAATGGTTGTGCAATAACTAAATTAAAGCCACTTTTGTATTGTAGTAAGATAAACCGTGACAACTTGAACGATTCCATCGATGCCATCCTACAGGCTTCGAAAGACAAGCCAAGGAAGTTCACAGAATCCGTAGAACTCCAGATCGTCCTGAAGAACTATGATCCCCAAAAGGATAAACGTTTCGCAGGAACAGTCAGGTATAAAACAATGAAAAATTGTTTAAAATTTCGAACTTTTTCCTTGAAATGGATGATACATTAAAACTGTAAAATGCATAATTCACTGGCACTGTATGTTTTTCTTTACAGCGGTTTTGACATCTGAATGAAAAAAAATCATGAAGGGTGTAAATTAACTTGACCCCCACCCAGGGTCTTGAAACAACTGGGTAGGCAGGTTTTATTCTGCCGAACTATTGACTGTTTTTTTTCAAGGGAAACAAGACAGACCTTGACCCAGGGTCTTGAAATAACTGGGAAGATGGTGATTTTCACTGTCGAAAATTGACTGCTTTATGATAAGAAAAACAAAATGGTAATTTAAATTGAAAAAGAATTTAAAGACTCTTAAATTGTGTTGATTAATAAAATTTTATTGTGTTTATTTGCAGTGTGTTCATTGGTAGATGCTCTGTTTTTATAATTTATATAAACCTATTTTGATTGCTTTGATCGTAGACTGAGGCATGTTCCCCGCCCCAAGCTGAAGGTCTGTATCCTTGGTGACCAGATTCACTGTGACCAGGCCAAGGCCAACAACCTGCCCTGTATGACCGCTGACGACCTCAAGAAACTCAACAAGGACAAGAAGCTGATTAAAAAGCTGGGTATGGAATCTAAAGAAAAAAATTGTAGAATTTATAATAAAAGTCATTGAAATACATTTATTCCTCCCAGTAGTTATTGAAATGTATTTATTTAGGGGAAGGAAAAAAGATAAAAAAAAAAAAAAAAAAAACATGCCGAGGAAGAGAAATAAATATTTATTGCATGGCTTATCTGAAGCTTGCAGTGATGAGACATTTATCAGAGGCATTCAAAAACTATTAAAGCTATATGTTTAGATATTTGTGGATTTGTAAACAATACATCATTTATACATGTATTAGCACTGGTTTGGTTTAATTAAAAAGGTGAGGATAACAAACAGTTAGCAATGATATTACTAAATGATGAAAGACTTATTAAACTGACGCTGTTATTAATTATTAAATTTTCTAATAAAAAAAAATTTTTAGCCACTTCAACCTCCTTAGCATGACTAAGTCCAAGACTCGATAGTTAATTTTTTTTTTGGGGGGGGGGTACTCCTCTTGACCAGCATTTTAATTTTTCCATTGTATTTAGAATTGTGGAGTGGTTCTTACTGAGCATAGAAAGGCAATTGACAGCCTGTAGTAACATTTTTGTTGAGGCTTGGCAAAATGAAAAAAAGTATGGAAGAAACTGTATTTTGTCAACACAAATTCATAATTTCATATCGACTTGTGACAGTACAACTTTACAAATTTTGCCAATGAAGAATAACAGAAGTTGCATGTATTACCTGATACTTGCAGTGATGAAAATCATTTTTGAACAGAGGCATTATTTCCTAAGAATTGATTTGTACATCTAGTATAAGTATGGAAGAAGAATATAGTTTTTATGTAGTGTATGTTTCTTATTTCAGCAAAGAAATATGATGCTTTCCTGGCCTCCGACTCCCTGATCAAGCAGATCCCTAAGATCTGCGGCCCCGGATTCAACAGAGTGGGAAAATTCCCCACCCAGGTCTCCCACCAGGAGTCACTCGTACAGAAAGTGGAGGACATCAAGGCCACCATCAAGTTCCAGCTTAAAAAGGTAATTATATAGGGGTGATTTGTGGGTTAGTAATGGGCATACAAATTGTACAGGTCTTAAAATTGCTTTAAGAAAGTAAATGCAGCTGATAAGTGGTCCTGTATTGGGCACACAAATTGTGCAAGTCTTAAAGCAGCTTTGTAAAAAAAAGTTGAGAAACATCTAATCAGTGAACTTTTGTTGGCCACATAAATTGTTAGGTGATAAAACAGTTTTATCTTTGAGAATCATCAATCATGAGATAATTTGTGTGCATTTTATTGCAGGTGTTGTGCTTGGCTACCTGTGTAGGACATGTCAACATGCCTAAGGATGAGCTGTACGCTAACATCACCCTGGCTATCAACTTCTTGGTGTCTCTACTGAAGAAGAACTGGCAGAACGTCCGCGCCCTCTACATCAAGGGGACCATGACACCATCACAGAGAATCTACTAAATACTGTACTCTCTCAATAAAGTGGGCTTTCAAAATCCTTTTTATTTTTGTTTTCATGCAGACAATAAAGAGACATTGATTAATTACTAACAAAAAATTTCCATGTGTTAAAACTGATTTCCAACTCCCTTAAGCTCATGCGAGTTGAAAGATCTGATCAGCTGATTTTTCTGTGTTCATAATTAAAAGGTTAAGGCTGAACACTACTAATAACTTCAACATCTGCTGTATTTCTCTTTCATCAATCCTAGAACCCCTGGTCTTGCCTGTGTGGACATTGTCTAGCATTCCTGTGTTACTTGCTGGCAATGAAATTATTGAGTTAGTACACTTTTTTATGGCAAGCTAGGAGAAAAGTAACATTGCTCAACAAGATGTGTTTTTGAAACACTGCGAATGGCAACAACAAAGTTCAAAAAAAAAAAAAAATTGGCACATAGGTTACAGTCAAGGTCATTGACCTTGATGTCATTTGAAAGCCTCTGAAAGGACTTGATAAGTGGAGTATGCAATCCAAATGTACAGTCTCTATCTCCTATGGTTTCAAAGTTATGTGGAAGGCACGAAAAACTTTTTTAAGCATACGGGTCACAGTAATTGATTTTGATGTCATTTGAAAAAGATAGAGAATTGAGGGGTACCCAATAAGTAGGTCACTTAAGTCGCACGTGCGATAAATACGGTGGAAAGTTGACCTATATATGGCGATGAGGGTCACTGCAGATTTCTCGCTGACCGATGGTCTATTGAACTTATCACCTAAAACTGTGGAATTAAAAGTCTGTATTCTATTTAAGAGCTATTGATTGACTATATAGTAAAGGTACTAAAGTAATAAAGGATACTTTAACCATATGAATATGATCAATTATGGTTTTGCAATTCTTGAGAAGATTTTTAAAAAATCCTATATATATATATCTATGTAAAACTTTGGTCGATCATTGTGGCCCCACCCTACACCGAGGGTCTTGATTTGAACAAACTTGAATCCACACTACCCGAGGATGCTTCCATGTATGGCTCTGCCCAAGGCCCCAGGGTCAGGGGTGGGGGCTCTACTTATATACTGCAAATGAATTAATTGTTTGAAATCTGGTCCTTTGTATTTATAAAACATTTATTTACTTTTTTGATAGGCAATTTTAAGGGTGCCTTTTTAAAAATTTGTGCAATGTGTGGACCTATTGAAACCCCCACGAAAATTAGTGATTTCACAGTATTTTAAAAATCTTCTTCTAAAGAACCACTGTGCCAGGAAAGATGAAACTTATGGGGAAACATCCTCAGGTAGTGTAGATTCAAAGAATCCCCTTTAGCCAAGGATGCTTTGTGGCAAGTGTGGTTGAAATTGGCCCAGTCGTTCTTGAGAAGAGGTCGAAAATGTGAAGAGTTTACAGACAGACAGCCAGACGGATAGACGGACAGCTAGACAGACGAACGCCGGACAAAATGTGATCAGAAAAGCTCACTTGAACCCTTGGCTCAGTTGAGCTGAAAACTATAATTAGTCTCACACTGTAGGCTACGGAAGCGTGAAAGTTAAACTTGGAGACTTTTTTTTAATTTTCTACACGTAAATCTGTATAATTGTAAAAAAAAAAAAAAAAAACAAAACACTTTAAAGTTTAAATTTTATACTTTAATCTGTAAAATTTACACTTGAATCTGTAAATTTAACACTTTGATCTGTAAATTTACACCGTAAAGTGTGAAATTTACACGTTTAAGTGTGAAATTTACACTTTAATCTGTAAATTTTACACTTGAAAGTGTACATTTTACACTTCAAAGTGTAAATTTTACACTTAAATCTGTAAAATTTACATTTTAATTTGTAAATTTTACACTTTAATCTGAAAATTTACACTTTTTTCTGAACAACATGTACTGTAGTCTTTTATAATCAAACGGTCGATTCGTACGTGATGTTTTACCCAGGAAACTTAAAAAAAAAACCCTGAGATGTTCGCAACTGCTTGCTGTTTTTACATGTACATGTATACTAGTATAAGATAAATAAGGATGGAGGGTTTCCTCATTGGCCTCGTATTATTCCCCATTTGCAGCATAAAATATCGGGGATTTGCTTTTAATTCAGTATACATGTATGTATTTCTTTAGTTGTACTATAGTGTAACGAACAGTTATTAAAAAATATTTATCTCAATGATATTTTCATTTGCAGTTCAGATTGACTTGATTTTTCCGTTATTTCACGATCATGATAATGAGCACATAGTACACGGCGGGTATGACAGGTCAGCAGGGTATGCTCACTCCTCCATAGCACCTGATCCCACCTCTGATGTTTGCTCTGCTCTTGTTTTGTATTGTTTTATGGACTTTGAGATTGAATACTGTTCGTTATCTCCATATCCTTCTTGATTGATTGATTGTATATTGTTTAACGCCCCTCTCGAGAATTTTTCACTCATATGGAGACGTCACCGTATGCCGGTGAAGGGCTTCAAAAGACCTATACTCGGCACTCATGCAGGGCCATTGAGCAGTGAGGGTTCTTTATCGAGCCAGCGCCTACCATGACACGGGACCTACGTTTTTAAGGTCATATCCGAAAGACCCGTGACTTTCACATCTGATGCCGAGCGCTTGGCGAAGGAACAGTCTTTACCTATTTTTACGTCTTAGGTTTGACGCGACGTCGTGATCGAGAATTGAACCCGGGCCTCCCGCCTTCTTGATTGATATTGCAAGTTTATGGGTCTATGGTCATGGTGAAATAATATACAACATAAAAATAGGGGGTTCAGGTAACGTACCCGACTTAGCTATGTAATTGTGCCATTTAAACGCAATTTATTGGTGTTTATTAACGTATTTTTTGCATTATTATTCATAATTTATCTAGAAATTAAATATAATGAATTTTTCTACATTGTTTGAACTTTCGTATGATGCGTGTTTTATGTCATTCTGAAAAGTTTGTATTAAAAATTAACCGGGTTAAAGTTGTGCTAAAATTGGATACGGGGTTTTCCCTTTTATGCGTGGCACTGTAATTTTGTCTCCGCGACGTTGATAGCGTCATTTTGATTGGATTTCCGGGAGGCGATTTTTAAGGAATTAACGACATTGACCTATCACAGGAAAGCTTACATTTTGAAGATTAACATTGTTATTGTTGCATCTTGATGCAATGTGCAGAAGTTAGTTTATGTATTTTCGTTTCAAAGGAAAGAGGTCAATTTTACAACGGTAAGTAATCGAAATATTTTTATGCAACATACACTTTTAGAAAGCTGAGAAAATTTCCTATCAGAATATTGTGGTTCTGTAATTATCTCGGAAAATAATTCACCCGGATTTCATTCAAAAGACGTCAACCCGACGCAACTTTTGAACAGTTTCTAAGTACCTTTAAGGGTACTTACCACAAACAAAAAATGGATGCGCGGGTTGATATATATTTTTTGACTGATTTTGATTTGTAATGACATAAATAATAAATCCCTGAAATATAAAGAAATCGTAGGTTTTCCTTGGTGCTTAGATTTGAGATTTTATTTTGCCTTCTATATAATTCCATACAAAATTTTGCACAATTTTTTAACTTTATAACAAAATCTTATAAAATTCTCCCACTCTACTTAGTAAACATTATTCAGGTTGTCAATTTAAATATAAATCTATGAGAAATAATGCTGATTTCTGAAAAAAAGTTTGTTTGTGTTATTTATCCTTAAATTCATGCACACTTTTGTATCGTAAAACGTGAGATTAAATAATTTTAGACTTATTGGATAAAAAATCTATGAAAACTGTGGTTATTTCCTACTACATAACATATACATGGACCTATATATTATATATGCTAGTTAATGATCCCTGATATAAATGTACAAATTTGATTCTGCAGCCTGGATTTCCTCTGAATTTTGAAATACTGTCTGTATAATAAATGAAAAAACCGAAGTTTAAATGTGATAAAAGAAAATATTTATTCATTATTTAACTTATAACTATAAAATATTTATATTTTTGGGGGGAACATGATACTTTGTGGTTTAATTTTTTATTCAGTGAGTATATACCTGTCAGTTAGACTTCGGGAAAGTGCTAGAATCATTCCATATCATGATTATGGTACCCGCCTGCGGCCGGTAGTAGCAGAAGTCTAAGAGAAACTTAACACTCAACTTTTCCAGGAAGCATGGATAGTATATACAATAATTGATTGAAACCGAAATTTGATATCATGTATTTTAAAGATCTATTTAAATTTAAAAATAAAGTTGTGAATTCATTGTAGTAAATTCTTTTTTCCCATTTTTTTGCCATTTTCATTATATTGACATCTTTCTTCTTTGCGATGTCAGGACAGAACTCTAACTTTTAGTGACCATATTTTATTACGATCCTTATTTTAATAAATCTTTTAAAAGTAATAAATTGTAAATAATTCATAAAATTTCATTATTTATTCTTAACTCACCTGATTTTGAAAGTATGTTTTCAATGACTGTATCGGCCATTTTTACTATTGGCGGCCATATTGGATATTTTGCCGCCATCTTGGATATTTTTTAGCTGACATGAAAACAGAAAATTAGGGCTTGCATAGACCTTTCCGAAAATATATAGTTTGCCCTACTTCTAGATAAAATTAGGCACTATCCTTTAAAAATATACGTGGATTTAACGGGTTTTTCTTCCTTTCATGTGCTATCATTTAGTACTCGTATGTATAGAAATTTTCTTACATAAAATAGCAGTACTCACAACATTGATAATTTCATAACTTCTGTTCTACTTGGAATTTTTTCACCAAGTAAAGTTTTTTATATTTCTAAATGTGTCCATGTTTGTTCTAGAATATATTTAATTGAAAATATTTTACCGAAAATTTATACCTGAACCCTTTAATAAAAATTACGGTCATTTCAGAACGTAGCAATAAAGACACGTCATTGAATCAAAGGATATACCTGGTAAATTTCTTTCGAATCATTTAATTTAATTTTTGTTGCTGGTTATTAATGTAGAATGTAATACAGGTATTAATAATGCTT